TTAAAATGTCCATCAACAGACGAATGGATAAACAAAATTATATAAATATATAATGGAATATTATTCAACCTTAAAATATAATGGAATTCTGACATTTGTTACAGCATGGATGAACCCTAAAGACATACATAATGAAATAAGCCAGACGCAAAAGCACAAATATTATATGATTCCATTTTTATAGGTACCTAGAAATGACAAATTCATAGAGATAGAAAGTAGAATGGTGGTTACTAGGATTTGGGGGAGGGAGAGAATGTGGACTAATTATTAAATGAGTACAGAGTTTCAGTTTGGAAAGATTAAAAAGTTCTGGAGATGGATTATGGTGACGGTTGTACAACAATGTAAATGTACTTAATGTCACTGAACTATACACTTAAATGGTTGAAGTGATAAATTTTGTTATGTATATTTTACCACAATAAAATATTGATAAAAAAATAATATACAAAGTCTCATGACAAATTATGATAATTTCCAAGTTTCATTTGAAAATCATTAATACCAAAAACCAGGAAGACCTCAAACTTAATGTAAAAAGACAATAAATAGATACCAACATCAAGATGACAAGAGATGTTAGAAGAATCTGATAAAGATTTGAAAGCAGACATGATAAAAATGCTTCACCAGGCAATTACGACTATATTTGAAACAAAGAAGCATTACTATTTAGTAATAACAAATTGATTAGAAAAAGTATCATTTAAACTGGAAAGGAACCTGCAAAAGAATGAAACTAGACTGTTGCCTATCACCACACACCAAAATTAACTCAGAATGGATTAAGGACCTGAATATAAGGCCTGAAACTAGAAAATGCATAGAAGAAAACATAGGAACTAAACTCAGGGACCTTGGATTTAAAGAGGATTTTACGAATTTGACCTCAAAAGCAAGGGAAGTAAAAGCTAAAATAAATGAATGGGACTACATCAAATTAAAAAGCTTCTGCTCAGCAAAAGAAACCACTGACAAAGTAGAGACAATATCTGAATGGGAAAATATATTTGCAAGCAACACCTCCAATAAAGGCCTAATTTCCAAAATATACAAAGAACTCATAAGACTCAATAACAACAAAAAAACAAATGATGCAATGAAAAAATGGGCAGAGGACCTGAACACACACTTCTTCTCCTTAGAGGACATACAAATGGCCAACAAATTTTGAAAAGATGCTCAACATCGCTAGCTATTAGGGAAATGCAAATCAAAACCACAATGAGATACCATCTGTTAAAATAGCTATAATCCACAGGATGAGTAATAACAAGTGTTGGAGAGGATGCGGAGAAAAAGGAACCCTCATCCACTGCTGGTGGGACTGCAAATTGGTACAGCCACTATGGAGGTTCCTCAAAAAACTAAGAATTGATCTACTATATGATCCAGCAATCCCTCTACTAGATATTTACCCCAAAGACTTGAAAACCCATATCTGAAGAGATATTTGCACAGCGATGTTCATAGCAGCATTATTCACAGTGGCCAGGACATGGAAGCAACCGAAGTGTCCTACAATAGATGATTGGCTAAAGAAGCTGTGGGACATATATACAGTGGAATATTACTCAGCCATAAGAAGAGATGAAATACTGCCATTTGCGACAACATGAATGGACCTCAAGATAATCATGCTAAGCGAAATAAGCTAGACAGAAAAAGTTGAAAATCACATGATATCACTTATATGTGGGGTATAAACTTAAAAGCAACAAATGAACAGGACAAACAAATAGAGACTCATGGACATGGACTACAGACTAGTGGTTACCAGAGGGTAAGAGGTAAGGGAGGAGAGGGGAGGTAGATGGCGTAAAGGGGGTCAAATATGTGGTGACAGAAAGAAATCTAACCATGGGAGGTGAACACACAGTGTAAATATATATATGCCTTACTATTAAAATGTACAACTGAAACTTATTGGATTTCGTTAACCGATGTCATCATAAAAAAAAAATAAATTTTTAAAAAAGTTCCATTCACAAGCAATATTTAAGAATTTTAAATCTGTATGCAACTTATAACACAGCCATCAAATATTTAAGGTCAATGACAGAACTATAAGAAAAATAGACAAATTCACAATTCGAGTGGGAGATGTTTTCCATAAACCTGTCAATAACTGATGGGAAAAAATATATATAAATAAAGATTTCAACAGCATGTTATTAACAAATCTTACTTAATGAACATATTCTGTTATACATAGATATCACACAAAACAAATAGGGAGTACTTATTATTTTCAAGAATATGGAGAATATCTACCAAAATTTTCTGTATATTGGGCTATAACGCAAGTTTCAACAAATTTGAAAGAACTTAAGTCACACGATACATTCTCTGACCATGGTGCAAGTAAGCATTTGTTAAGAAAATGGTAACAAAAACAGAACTACAAAATTCTCATAATTTGGAAATTAAGAAACATACTATAGCTAATCCATGGGTTAAAGAAGAAATCACAATGGAAATTAGAAAATATTCTAACTTGATAGTGAAAATAATATCAAAACTTTATGGGTGAAGCAATTTAGAGAAAAATAAACAGCCTTAGGAAAGGAGGTTTAAATAAGATTTAAAAAATTAATCTCAGAAAATTAGAAAAAAAAACAGCAAAATAAATACAAAGAAAGTACAAGAAAAAACAAAACAGGAGCCTCTCTGCTTAAAAGGTAGTGTAAGGGTTGGGTTTTGGTTTTGTTTTGCTCTGCTTTTTTCAAGGACTTAGTCTAGGAAGGCTTCCTAGAGGAATTTCATCCTCTCTTATGGTAGAACAATATTTCATTGTATAACTATATCACATTTTGTTTTTTCATCTGTTGATAGACCTATGGCTTATAACAGCATATTAATCTTCCTCATCATTCCTATCTTATAAAATATTGTTTACTAATAGCTTATATAAGTTTTTGTTATTTTTCTATACTACAAGCAACAAATCACAATGAATGACAAACTTGTTACCATTTGGTTTATAGAAGAAAACATAAAGGAAAATGGCTTTTGTATTGTATTTTTCCCAAAATAAATTTCTGTTTTATTTATAAACTCTTTTTATTAAACTTAAAAAAAAAAAGATTCTCTATTTGTTTTAAGATTGACTTCTGCTATACACTTCTCTCAGATGGGCCAAAATGAAAGAGTAATACAGCATATGTGAATAGGCAAAATGTCATTTAAATTAATATGATACAACCTTCATGTGCCTACCAAAAAAGCTCCAAGAAAACTAGCTCGAGTGTACACTTCATCAGGCTGATGTTTTGTTAGATGTGAAAAGTATTTTCAATAAATAAGACATTCTAGATCTTTTCTCATCCAACCTGGTATTCAGTTTCCTGGGAATTTCAGTTCATGTTCAATTTCGAATTGTGTATTATTAACCAGTTCTTGTTCAATTCTAAATTTGAATTATTCATCTATTTGGTTTTCCTTCATCTCCAAAAATAAAATTAAGGGAAAAGGAAAGAAAAATTACATTTCATCTGGTCAATTTAGTTTCCTATTAATAAGGCTATTATATGTTGAAGTATGACAAATTACTGGCCAAAAATTAAAGTTTGGGGTTAAAACACAGTGCAGCTACTAAGTTCCCTAAGAACCTTTTAACATACTTCACTCTATGAGCCTTCTCTCCTTATGTTTTGTGTATTTTATGCTATAAGAAGATACTATTTTTAGTACCTATTTTTCTTAGTTTCCCTGTTTATATTTGGGTATCTATGTATACCACATTACTTTGTATTCCTGGTATGGAGAAAACACTGAAAATCTACCTTCTCCCCAAAGGCAAAACAGGAATATAAAGGGGAAAAAAATTACTAACAGCATAATTTTCAAAAAAGTTCTTTTCCCACATCTATAAATATCTCAGAGAAATGAAAATCCTAAGAAACATAAAACTGATCTAGGAGACAGATGTTTGAATTCTCCTAAGTATAGTACAGGGAACAAAGTTTCACATCAACAAATGCAACTAAGGCATATCTCAAAAACACTGTCTGACTATATCTTTAGAATATCTGAAGATAAAATGTTTTAGTCCTTCTTGGTAAGAATTTTTGAAGTTTTAGTTTAGTTTTGTTTTGATTTTAATATAACTTTATCCTTTCTACAGATATGTGACTATGGACTGGGAAAAATATGTACTTAAAAATTATGGGAATTATATTTTGGCACATAATTACGCTTCTTTTAAGTACTTACTACATTTTGATTTGTGTTATGGGTATTTATGTACATATTATATGCCCAACTAGATTATAAATGACTTGCAAACAAAATATATAGTCTATTTCATAATTATATTATTCATTATGCCTAATATAGCACTTTGCACATAGTAGGTTCTCAATAAATACTAGTAAAATGTGGAATTATTAAATAATCATATAAAAATTGCTTGAAATTAACAGTGAAAAGGGAGGCTATTTTATTCTTAATCATATTGTAATGAAGACTATTTTAAACTCTATGCAGTGATGATACACACAAATATTTAAACTATTTATGTGCCTCAACTTGACATAATTTCATAACTTGATGGCAATCACATTTAAATATATTAGAATATTTTTGTAATAATGCTACTCTAGAATAGCAACTTTAATAGCTGGGAAAACATGATAATGGCCATTACCCTGAAGGAAACAGGGAACATTAAACATTTTTTCAGAAATCAATGTGTAAGTTTAAACATTCCACTATAATATTTATGAGCAAACCTCAAATTAAAATTTATAAAATGGAAATTATCAAATGTTTCAGTTAGACAATAATTTAGACTATATTTTGTAATTCTTCCTGTGAACATATTAATGAACACTGTATAAAAAAGATTATTTTCTCCTTTAGTGTCTTTGACTATTACTATCAAAATATCAAAATGAATTCTGCTTGAATGCCATACCATGGCAATCTTACAAAAGCCCTTGATTATCAATCAATATGATATTAGTCAGTGAAGACAAATAAGTGGTTTTCCTTACCTTCAGGACAGATATGAATGGCACAAAGTTAGCTCTTTGCAATCCATTTTTATAGAGATCTGAAAGAAATTTTTGGTATTAGTTTTTTACTTACCCTAAATCGTAATGTTAGCTTATATTTTAGCCTGATAAATAAAGCTTTCTACTGATAAAAAAAAAAAAAAAAAAAAGATAAAGGAAGAAAAGAGAAGAAAAATAATCAAAATTGATTTCTAGTCTGGTACTTTATTCTTAATAAGAGAAAACACTAATAATCACAGAAATAAAATCAAAAGGCATTCAATCAAATTAGCTTCAAACTATAATAAATAGCAATAAAAGAATTTGGAAGATATCACAAATGATCCTAAATAATGACCCAATATAGAAAATGATATATTTAAAATTACTTAATATTTGGATATATAGAATTTAACGGAGAAAGGAATCATATTCTTCTTTCCTCAACAGATAATAGAAGTTCTTAGTACACAATTAAAAGTATGTAATAAGATAGCCTTTTAAGAAAACACATCAATAGACAGATCTGTGTATATATTTGTATCAAAATTAAATATTTGACATTAAGTTAAATGACATTAAGACCAATTTGCTTTAAAAGAAATTATTTAAAAATCAAAATTCTATTCTTAATAGGCTATAAATCTAATTCAGTTATATAAATAGGTAGTATTTATTGCCTTAGAATGGTGTTTTTTATTTCACACTGTATGTTCACACACATACACACATATACTCATATATTGTCAAGAGCAAACAAGTAAAAAGGGCCAACAAATTTTAAGTCCTGAATATTTTTCTTTGAAAATGGAGACCTGAAATATTTTTTCAAGAGGTCAAAATTTTACCATATATAGAATATTCTGTTTACAAGTCAACTCTATAAAGTAATGAGATTTTTAAAATGAAAGTATTCATAAAAATGAGAACAGTAAAAAGTTTCTCAATAATAAAAACCACAAATTAGCTTATTGTCTTAATTTTTCTTAAAGAACTGTATTATGGGATCCTTTCCATAGTTTCTTTGTTTAGAGAAAATTTGATAACTAAGAAAGACTTCAACTGCCACATTTACTTATGGAAATAAAATGTGGTTATTAGGAAACATTTATTCTCTTTAGAAAAATATTCATCATAACATCATTATAGTGAAGAAAGTATTTGCATAAGCTCTTTGGTTAATTAAGAACTAGAAGCTTTAATTCAGTTACATTTAAATTTTTCATTTAGGGATATTATAAAAGGTAATAATGCTGACCAGGCTATAAGGATTTCAAAATTTAAAACAAGATGTTTTCTTTCCTATAATCGATACCTTGAATGAGTAAAATAGGGGCAATGCAGGGTTTAAAGTTAGGTATTTTCATAGTCTTCCCTAATTATCAAGTTGCTAGGGAAGAAAAACATTGCTGCATAAGAGTTGATAGCTGTGATTGCCAGAAAGAGGCAAAACTGAAAATAAAATAATTTTTAAATCACACTCAATGTCTATAGCAGCTTTATACATAATAGCTATTCATAATAGCTAAAAAATGCAACTTTGTTTTCAATAGCCAAAAATGACAAGCAATCCAAAGGTTCATCATTAGGCGAATGGATAAACAAACAGGCATATGTACAATGAAATACCAGTCAGCAAGAAAAAGGATAAACCATGCATACACACAACAAAACATATGAATCTCAAAATAATTATGCAGAGTAAAAGAGACCAGACCCCCCACAAAAAAAATGAGCACATACTGTGTGAGTCCATTTATATAAAACTCTAGGAAAAAGCTAACTAATCTATAGTAACAGAAAGCAAATCAATGGTTGCCTGAAAATGGGAGATGTGGGGCAGGGATGACAGGGAAAGATAAAAAAAGGGATGAGGAAAGTTTGGGGTGCGATGAAAATGTTCATTTTATTGATTGTGATGGTGATTTCACAGATACATATGTCAATATTTTTTAAACTGTATCCTTTAAATATGTGCCATTTATTATATGTCAATTATGCCTCAATAAGTTCTTTGAAAATTTACTGAGGAAATAAAAAAGCATACACAACTTTAGTGAATATCAAAGAACACAATGCTACAGAATTAAATTAAGATATTACACTAATGAAAGTTCATCTATGTTAAGTTAGCCTTTCAGTCTTACTCATGGAATATCTTTTTTTATGGACATATAGGCTCTGAAATGTAACTTAACAAGCAAGCACCTTTAAGTAGGTTAATGGCAAAGAGATGTAAAGGCCCACTTGTAACATTCTTGATTAAAAGATTTCCATGCATCAATAAAGTTCAAGTAGAATATCAATGCTTTTAAGTTTTCAAGATTTATTTTTTAAAGAGTTAACAACAACAAAAAAGCCTTTATAAGAATATATAATTCAAACCTTATGCTCTGAAAAGTATTTTCTAAACAAAACTCTAAACAGAATTCACTTGTCTTGAAAACCGTTAGGTTTTTATAGGACACTTAAGTGAAAAAGGACTGTATTCATTAAATTGAAGAGTTCTTTACAATTCAAATAATATGCTAATTATCAATGCAATATATCCATCTCTTGAAATGTTATTTAGCTACCAAAATTTTTAATACTGATTAACATTATTTTTCTTAGAAATAAAGATTTTATAATATATTTATATTGACATTTGTCTTTATTTACTAAATACTATTTAAAAATTCAGCATAAGTTCTTGTCTACAATTTTTAATGATCTCTGAACAAAGCTAAATGAGCATGTAGTATATAAGACAGAATACTGGGATTATGGGACATTCATTTCTTGAGACTGGTATAAGGACCTCTACATTCTCTACAGTGAATAACTGTAATAATACTTACAGATGAAATAAATGCAAAGAGCATTTTTAAAGTAATTACAAGGATCTACAGTAATACTTCGGAGATGCACATGGATATGTAGATCTTTTCTTTGAAAATCCAAGTATCAAAACCAACAGAGTGAATAATGTTTATTTACATAAATACTTATCAGTTTAGAGTAAGAAAAACTTTTAGGATAGGTAATTAAAAGGAGGTTTTTTTTATAAATGAACACAAAATAATTATACAGCTTTATGAAACTAATCTGACTTATCCTTCCAGGAGATTTTTCTTTATAGAAGATACAGATTAAAAGAAAATGGTACCCTTAGACAATTTAAGTAACAACGGCTACTTAGCTTATTTTTAAAATACTAATTGGAGTTAAAATAGTATTTTACTAAATGTGTTAATAATACAGCTAAAGAAATGCTCTCATTTTATGGTATATTATAGTTTTATATTCAACATACATTCATAAATTCCTACTATGTGTCTGCACTGAAATGAGTGATAAAGACAAAAGATGAATAAAAGAAGGAACTAAGACTTACAGAACATCCACCAGGAGCCAAGTAACACGCTAGGCACCGTATACAAATCATTATAACCCCACAAAGTAGATATTTCTACCTCCATTTTACAGATAAAGAAACTAATATTCAGAGTTTTAAAAATAATTTGAATTCCCAGGCAGTAATTGGTATACCTAAGATTAGAGTCAAGGTCTTCAATGATGTTAAAACTTACAGACTTTTTCAGAACCACTTGTGACCAGTTGGGCTTATCACAGCTGACAGACACAAGCAGACATAACTGTGATACCAGGAAAAAGAGACACACAGTACAAACATAACACACAGAGCAAGAAGCTAGCTACTAATCTGGAGAGGAGGATGGTTCAAAGGCAGCTTTACAAAGGTAACAAAAGGACTAGACTATCTTGGAAAAATAAGCAGAGAGGAAGGAAGGCATGAGCTCATGACTTTGTCTCTACCTTCTTTCCTAATATTCTACAATCAAATCTATTGCTCAAATGCCACATTTTCTATCAAGCCTTCCTTGAATTCACTATAGTGGAAAGACTTTTAGAGTAACCCTCCATAATCCCCAGACTTGCTATTCACAGTTTTACGAAAACATGGGACATTAGAGAAAAAAAAGATAGTTATCCCTGAGAAGGAAAGAAATGCAATGAGTTCTACAATTGCCCCAGCTCTGTGCCTGGGAAAAGTTTAAAACAGTCTACAACAGGGAGGGGGAAACCAAGAAGGACCTGGTAGTCTCCCTGAATTCAGGAGATGGATGAGAGTCCAGAGAGGAAAAAGCAGCTACAGTTCATAAGGCAGAGTACCAGAAAAAAAAGAGCTGCCCAATGAAAAAGCTCCGGAGATCTGCTGAGGGTCCCAGTTGTGTACCAAGATGGGTAATGATCAGTACATGTGTGAGGAAACTACCCAAAGCCAGGGTACCCAAAAAAATCACCTAAAAATATTAAAGCAAATCATCATTGGAACTCATACATGCCTGTCTCCACCAGTCAGATTGGATAAACTCGTAATAATGGGGTAACAGGTACAGTATTGAGAAGAGATTTATCTCAGTAATGAGAAAAATTAGTCCTAGACTAAATAGTGCTCTGGTCCTACTGTACAAAGCTTAAAAGCAATACCCCCAAATCAAACAGTTTCTAACACAGAGAATAAAGCTTAAGAATATGTATAGGAATATAAAAATATCCAACACCCAATGAAGTAAAATTTATATTGTCTGACATCTAATAAAAATTACAACATGAAAAGAAATAGGAAAATATGACCCATAACAAGGAGAAAAATCAACCAACAGAAACAGACCTAGGAATGACACAGATACTAACTTTAGAAGATCAAAACAGTTATTGCTGAATTCCATGTGTTTAAGCAGCTAGAAGAGTGACCATAATAAATAGAAAAATGAAAAATGTAAAAAAGACCCAAGATAAACTTTTAGAGAAGAAAACTAAAATATATGAGGGGAAAAAAATATGCTGGATGGGAATAACAGCAGATTAGATACTGCAAAAGAAAATATTATTGAATTTAGAATCATAGCAATACAAACTACCCAAAATGAAGCACAGAGAGAAAAAAAAGAGTAGGAAAAAATGTACAAAGAATAAGTGAGGTATGGAGAAACTTTAAGCAACCTAATATATGTGTAATTACAGTACCTGAAAGGGAGAAGAGGAAGAGCTA